GGTCACCATTTAAAGTGCATTGAAAAGTAATACCCATTTCCACACCACCATGAGGTAGAGTATATAGTGCGTGTTTTTCTGTGTTTTCCCCAGTAGGCCTAATGAAAATGAAACTACAATAACTTTTGCTGAGGGACCAGATTTATAGATGTATTTGAGAGTTGAAGGCAACGAAGTTTGTGGGATCAATTCTTTTGGCGCAGTAGCTTTTTCTCTACTTTCTGTATCGATTTCATTATACGTCTTCATCATCATCGCTATCTTCCAATGCTTGAGGCATGTTATCACATCTATTGTCGCAGTTTGAGAAAATTATAGAACAAAGCTCTGCTTTCCTACATCCACATGCTCCCCGACATCCTTTCTTGCATTTACAAGAAGATAGTTTAATAATTTCTGGAGCAGGTGGTTGGATTGTAGTCAGAGAACAAGACCATTTTTGTCTTTCTTCCATCCTAGATTTTTCCTTACCAATCCATTGCTGTACTGATGATACGTTCTAAATCAATGTTGTCTCGCTACAGCTTCTATAGGAGGCAATGAAGGGATGTTAAATTTATTCATGTATGCTGATTTTATGAAGCATTGGTGCCTATAAGTGTTCAGAGGTATAAATTCCTTTTTATTATAGCCGTAAAGTCTGAGAAGAAAGTATTCTCCAGCTTTAGCTACATTTTCTTTGTCAGCATCATTTTCTTTAAATACTTTTATAACTTCGTGAAGATAGGTTTTTTTTTGCAAAGCAAGTCAATGGTCAACTGTTGCATGTGAGCGATAGGCTTAACACATTAAATGCGTATTACTTTACACGTTACGTAGTTGGTTTTCGTACGTGAAAACTGTTAGTTTTATGAAAAAAATGATAGAGAACCATTTTGTAGAGAAAACTGTGTAGTTTAATTTATTATAGGTAGAATAATTTTTGTTGTAAAGTCAATCAAAGGCAAGATGTATACAAAATTGTTTTCAGGTCACTTTTTTCTTTGAATAGAGGCGCCAGCGGCAAAGATACGAGGTGGCAAAATAAAAAATCGAAAAAAAAAGATAGAAAAGAACATATAATCACCAAATATCAAAACATCCGCAAATTTTTACTGGACTATTAGTGATAAATTGTAATCAGTTTAAAATCTTGAAAAGTATATATTTACGCGAATATTTAAATAGATATCATAGTACTTCAATAAGTTAAATATACTATTGCAGCAATTTCTTACAAATTTACAGTGTGTATTTTAAGAATATCTTTTATTACTATTTAAGATAGCGATTTAATAGTCAAATAATTGTGTTTTCTACCAATTTTTACAAATTCACTGTTAATTTATGTTCATTTAATATTAAAGCGCCATAAATTTATATTCAACATATTAAAAAAAATTTTTCATATGAAAAACAATTTTGCTACATTTTGAATTTTACGAATATATTGTATTACTATTTAAGATAGCAATTTAATAGTCAAATAATTGTGTTTTCTACGAAATTATACAAGTTCGCTGTTAATTTATGTTCTTTTAATATTAAAGCGCCATAAATTTATATTTAACATATTTAAAAAAATGTTTTATCAGGAATATATTTTTTTACTAAAGAAAATATTTAAAAATAGTAATAAGAATTTTTTCATACATATTGGGCATTGGCAAAAATATAAAGTTGATGGTAGAAACGAATCAAATCAGTTATATAAGATGGTCTTTTTAGTTTATCAAAATTAAAACATGACCTGTAGTAAAATAGGTGCAAAATAAAATAAATTAAGATATAGAAACTCTACCAAAATTGAAAAACTTCATAAGTTTAAAAATAACTTATGCATATTCCAAACACATACACTCATTCTAGATACAGAGAATAGTTTTGTTATAATGGCTGTAGGTACCTACCAATCTAAGTATAACAAATATGAAGGAAAACACAGTGTATTACTAATTCTTAAGAATTGTGATGTATGGTATACCTACAAACAAAAATATTTTTACTGTAAAATTTCCATTAAGTTGTTTTCTTGTAATATTAATTAAATAATTAATTATTAAATTAATTAATAATAAGATATGTAAGTCGTCATTTTATTAAATTTACAGTTTTTCTGCCTGTTATTTCATCACCGTCACGAAGTAAGTCCATGTACTAGCATAGTATTACAGGGTGCGGCGTGTATAATCTATAAAAATACTGTAATCTACCGCTTCCTAATGATATTTTTAATAGAAAAGTCTTATATGAAAAAGTTCTATTTTTGCGCTTTTTTTTCGTAAATTAAAGTTCAATTATGTATCAAAATATTTTCTCTTGAACGGTCTCCTGTCCGTGTGCTGTACGATGAGTTGCGTTCTGTAGAGAAACCGCGTATACAAATCGTCGTTGAATGATATAAAGATACTTATCAATTTTTGAGGAATTTTTCAATGCAAAAGTACAAACTAAGAAAAATAGATACCTACTAAAAAAATATATATTTTCTTATTATAATAATTAATAGTAATTAAATAATCTTAAATGCATTGTTGTTACTGCAAGAGTTCGCAAACAAAACCACATCCGTAAGCATCTGTAGTTGCCAACTGCGTGCACTAAACAAACTCCATTAAAATATGGAACAAAATGATATAAAATTTACCATTTTTAGAGAAAACGTTGAAATTGATCCCCATTAGCGCGGATACAGGCATGACACCGACGCATCCAATTTCGGGGAATATTTTCCCTAATTACAGGTATTCCATCCCCTAATTGTGTCAGCAGCTTCAACTATACGGTTTTGAAATTCTTCCACCGTAGCAATTGGAGTATTGTAAACCAATGACTACAATTTACTCCAATGATAAAAGTCCATTGGAGTTAGATCGGGTGGCCACGGCACGGGACCAAAGCGTCCAATCCATCGCCGAGGAAACATTTCATTCAAAAGTGTTGTTACTTCTCGAGTACTGTGTGGAGCCCCATCTTGAAGATAAATCATGCGTGCCCGAACTTGTAATGCCACACCGTCCAATAATCCAAACAACCTGTTCTCCAAAAACTCAGCATATGTTGGTAAATTTAGTCGTCCTTCAAAGAAATAGGGACCCACAAGTACATCGCTTATTATGCCAGCCCAAACATTTACCGAGAACCGATGTTGAAAATGAGTTTCCGTAATCGCGTGAGGCTTTTCATTGGCCTTTATGTGTATATTATGGAAATTCACTTCATCATGGGTAAATGTCGCCTCATGTGATACACAAACGTAAGCAGGAAAGTCTACTTTTCTTCGGCTGCACCATACACTACCACCATATCGACATGTTCGGAAATAGTAAATGCATTGTTTTCTCGGTTCATTGCAAAACTAGTTTATTCGAAATCTAAAAAATTAAGCAAAATGAGAAATAAGAATCTCGTTTTTAATGAAATCGGCAGGCTATTCTTATTTTTTACTTCTTTATAAAAATTACACTGTCACTATCGTGGAATTATAGAATAAAAACTTTTGTCTGGACTCTTCTACTTTTTAGCAATAATAATGGACAGTTTTCGAAAACTGATTTTTCCGCGTTCGACCTTTATTTTATACTTAACAAAATGGTCAAATTGACTTTAAGTATCTTAAATTATAGGTAATTTAATTGCCTGACGTAGAATAACAAATTTTCCAATAGGTCGTCTAGATTTTCATGGGCATTAAAAAAAGTGAAAAAATACGGAATTTTGCCACTTATTTTCGATATGTCTATTAATAATATTTTTACGTTCAAATTCTAATTCGACTGGACTAATAAATATTATTTTACTGAACGAGACAAAGTAATTTCTTTGCATTGGCGCATCCGGCAAAATATCGAAATATTTTAAAACCCAGGTGAAGTGACTCGGTGGGTTATGATGGCGCACTTCAATTTCTCTTAAGGACGTTTATTGGGTACGGAGGTACGTCTAAAGTCTGACGAAAGTTTCTGAAGATTCGCTAGTGACTAAAGTAGTAAGCCTTTAGATTTGGCAACGTTGCACGTGGCTGGCTTTGTTTGGATGCCTAAGCTTGAAATATACATCATATGTCACACCTGCGAATTTAAATAATACGCTACTTTGAGAACCGCGATGTTGCCGTTATCACGCATATGAAGGTTAAGTTAGTCAACGACAGCAGTTTGAAGGAGAATTATTATAAATTATGTATCTTACAAGTACCTAATCGATTTCTACGAGCTGTCATACGGTTCTTTAGATATCGGTATCCTATTTATACAAGTTGTTGTGGAAACTGTTCATCAATTGTTGCTCATTCTAAGTGGAAAGACCAAAAAAAATCTGTATTCTCATAAGAGATTTTCTTCATATTAATAAGCTTATATTAATTTTTTTATGAATATTTGTTCGTCAATTCCAAATCAGATAAACCTCCTTAATTTGAGGGGCAATTGGCAACGTTGCGCCACTTGCGATTATCAGCTTCACTTGAACGTATGTACGCACAGTGCATCGAGTCTGTTGGAACAAAAAAATTTAATTATATTTTTATTACATGCTTTCTATTATTCTATTATTCTATTCATCACGCCTTATTTATTTCCGTCATTAAGAGCTTATAATATTTAAAAGCCAAATTTCCTAAATATTTCACTTGCACTACTTTCTCTATGAATTAACTTGTCTCTATTCGTTTCCTAACCTTAGAATAAAGCTTAAATATTCAATTGTAAAGGAATACGTGCCTGAGCCATTTCTCCCAAGGTTTTTGGGAAAGATTTTGTTAGACATTTTGATAATAAATTATGTAAATCTGTTTTTAAATGCCAACCGAATATAAAAGGATAGGAACCTGCTCCAGGGCCATATGGTCTGAAGACACGCTATTTTCGGCGATGGAAGCTGTGAGATCTGGCAATATGGGAGTCAGCTAGATAATTTCAAGTACCTTGTACTACACTTCGACGAAGGTTAGCAACATGTAATACTAAGAAGAAGAGATTAGGTCCATCATCGGTTCTGGGAGATAAAAATATATTAGGAAAATGCCAAAAACGAGGATTTTCTCCAACAAGAAAAATAGTTCGTCGTTGGCATACCAGCTCGCCAAGCAGTTAGAAATCAAGCACACATTCAACAGCAATGTTGAAATGGCCGGAGAAGACTGGCTCAGATCATTCTTACGGCGAAATTCTGATTTGTCCGTTAAGAGGAGGCCCATCTTGAAGATAAAACATGCGTACCCGAACTTGTTTGTAATGCCACATCGTCCAATAATTCAAGCAACAAGTTCTCCAAAAAGTCGGCAGTCAGCGTGAGGATTTTAATCGGCCCATATGTGCATATTATGAAAATTCACTTCATCACGGGTAAATGTCGCCTCATCACACAAACATAAGTAGGAAAGTCTACTAGGTTGGCACATTGCCGTAAAAACCATCTGCAAAAACGCATTTGTTGATCACAATCCGGGGGTAAAATCTGTTGAACTGGTTGCAGACGATAGGGGTGCAACAGCTGGCGCCTTAAGATGCGATGTACGGTACGAGATGAGGTTCCTACTTGCTGTGCGAGTCGTCGAGTATTAATTGTGGGGTCTTTGTCAAGATTTTCCAACACTGCATCTTCAATATTAACGTTCACTTGCTGACCACGTCCTTCTCCTCGAGGAATAACACTTCGCGTATCTCGCAGCCGCTGAACGCACTGTAGGATTGTATTTGCACATGGGGGGTGACGATGGCCACAAGGCCATCGTTCCCGGTACAACCTAGTCGCCGCGAACGCATTTTCTCCGGCTGCACCATACACTAACACCATATAGACACGTTCGGAAATAGTAAATGCATTATTTTCTCGGTTCACTGTAAAACTAGTTTGTGCACAAACTAAAAAATTAAGCAAAGTAAGGTTAGTACGAAATAAGAATCTCATTTTTAATGTAATCGGCACGCTATTCTTATTTTTTACTTCTTTATAAAAATTACACTGTCACTATCGTGGAATTACAAAATAAGAACTTTTGTCTGGACTCTTTCACTCTCACTGATGGACGATTCTTAATATGTAATAATTAAGTGAATAATGAATTCAATACAAAGACAAAATCAGTTGTTTGCACAAATTTTTTGTCAATGTAACCTAACCTTCTTTTAGTATTACTGGTATTAGATTATACCGACTTAAATTATAAGGTTGCATCTCAGGTCGCATAAACACATTTCCAAAGTTTTTAATAAATAACACAGGGTCGGCCTTCATTTTCGTTGAATAAATGAACTTTAATTTACAAAAAAACGCGAAGATAGAACATTTTCGTATAAGACTTTTCTATTACAAATATCATCAGGAAGCTGTAGACTAATTTTTATAGATTATACACGCCACATTCCGTATAATAAAATTACAAATGGTAGTGTCAGGATGACTAAGATTAATATTAAATCTTGATATAAAAAAGAGGAAGTTAAAAAAAATAATTAAAGTAAAAAGGACAAGGGAAAGATAGTTGTTACACAGTTCGAATCTGTACAAGTGTTATTTTTATTTTATTAAATAAATTGATAGGTGTTAGAACAAATTTCCGTTTCCGTCACAATTAAATCGGATGGAAAATCCCACTATATAAAGACGCTGCGTCCGTTTTCCTAATTGTATCGCGTCGCATAACGATCCTTTTTGTAACCTGATGACTGGAAGAAAATCCAAAGAGGAGAGAAAAACAAAAGACCAATAAACTCCTTTGTAGACGTACCCGGTTTATTCGAATCTGCTGCGAGTTTCGCGAATGTTTCCGGATTTCCTGTAACTTATTTTAAACTATTAGGAGACTTTTTCACGCCCCCATGCGAGAAAATCTCCGGGGCACGTGAGAGAAAGCCAAATTGGGATAAGTTTGTTTCGTAAGATCGAAATGCTTTGTTATATCCAAAGTTACGTAAATAGGCTCCTCGAAATTGGGAAATGTCTAAGTGAAAAGTGTTTTTCACGTGGGAAACTTTCTCGTGTGGCTAATCTGCCCAAGGCCGATACAAAAGACTTCTTAAAAAAAGTTGATAGGAAAATAACTTCGAAATACCTACCGGCTATGTGGATGAATGTATCTAAATAATTGAAATAAAAATATAAAATACAAGGAAAAAAAATAAAAAAACAAACAGGAAACCAAAATAAAGAAATCAATTTTATGGACGATTCGTTGCTGCTTTGTACAGGACGTTTCAAATTGCTATCCCGGAAAACAAAACTTTCGGATTTCCATTTTGTCGTTTTCCGCGTTTTGGATTTTCTTCGTGGCATATGCAATTAGATTATTATTGGGATATTTCGTCTTTCAGCAACCATCATCAACTTATGTTTTTTTAAAACGAACCTTTCACAGTTTTACACCATCTAAAATTAATTCGCGTTCATAAAAATTAAGTTGATAAAGATGACGAAATGTCTTGTTAAAGATCTAATTTCCAGAAAATAGACATTAATTTTTCATACGTTGTTGTGTAAATTGTACAGGGTGTCCCAAACTCGACGCCCCAATGATATTACATAGTGTACGAAAAATGTTACTAAAAATTTGAAGTATGTAGTTTAAGCGGCATGGATTGAAGTGCATTTTGCACCAAAAATTAAAGTTTTAGATATTTCGAAAATTATATTAATGACGTCGTGAAATATATTTTTCCAGCAACATACCTGTATTTTTCCATGTTTACAAAGAACATATTTTTCCGATAAACTTTTATCTAAAAAATTTTTCTTTAACTATTTTTATTAAAAAGTAGTAAAAACAATAATATAATTAGATCGTCACTAACATTAGTCATAACTTGATCGGACATTCTCTGGAAAACAATTATTAATCGAGTTACATTATTATGTTTACTTGTCATCAAAGTGTTAAAAGAGTATTGCTTAACGCTTCCAAGTGTTTACAGAGAGGGTAGTTATATCGATTATTTGTAACAACGCTATCACACACAAAAAGAGTTGATATTCTTTTAATTTATGGAGAATCCCATAAAAATTCTAGAAGAGCTGTTCACGTCCTAGACCACAAAGTGTTTGTCAGGCTATAAAGAAACCTACGACAAAATGAAAATGCATTTTCGATTCGAAAGAGAAAATCAATAAGAAAAAGGGTTAAAGATGACTATACTACTGCACAAGTGGTACGATATTTTGAGAACCACCTGCTAAACTTAATAGGGCAAGCTAGTCACGAGTTAAATTTGAAAACATCTTCGATTCACCGGATATTAAAAGTTAATGGTTACCACAATTTTAAAATACATAACTTGGAATATTTATCTGAAATTAATCTAGAAAGAAGATTGAGTTTCCTTACACAAATCACGGTAGCTGCTGAAATTTCTGATCGACGAATTCATCGTATTCTTTGAACAGATGAAAGCCGTTTTGTAAGTAATGGTTTACCAAATAAAAAAGTGAACATTATTGGTCCATTGAGAATCCACACTTTGTTCATCCTGTATAATATCAAGGATATTTTAGTGTATGTAAATGTGTGGTGTGGTGTCATTGGATGTCATCTGATAGGACCACACTTTTATGAAGGTGTGTTGAGTAGTATAGAATACTTGAGTTTCTTACAAGAAAAACTCCCAGCACTTCTCGAAAACATCCCTTTACAGTTGCGAAGGAGTTTGTGGTTCCAGCACGATGCAGCCTCAGCTCAGAAAGCGTTTATTGTGTAGGATTATTTAAATACTGTTTTCGAGGAACAATGGATTAGAATAAATGGACCCATAAAATGGCCCGGAAAATCTCCCGACTTGACTCCTTTGGACTTTTTTTACGGGGTTTCCTTAAGAATCAAATCTGTAAAAGTATGTCACGTACCTGTGAAGAGCTTACTCCTAAAATGCTGAGGAAAGCAATTATAAGTTAGGCGTCGGTTAGATTTATGATTAGCTACAGGGCACATAGAAAATATGTTATAATAATTTTGGTTATACAGTGTGGATACAAATTGTGGAATATTGCTTATATTTCTTAAAATATTCGTCATTCAAAAACATGTTTTAATAAAAGTGTTAGGGGAAATTTTTTGATATCAAGCAATTTTTCGTAGCACAGAAAATGTGGTTGAAAAGGTAACCGACTTAATTTTTTTAAACGGCAACATATACTTTTTTGTGAAAATTAATACATTGGATCTTCCTAAATACGATACAATACAATTTTAATAGGGTCACATAAGAAAAAAATACAGTAAATTCAATTTTTATAATTTTATTTTATGTCCTAAGTAAGGAGTCAAAAAATCAAAAGATCAACGCTTTAAGCTAATCTTAATAGGATAAATGAAAAAATGGAACGGATGTGAACTAATTCATTAAATGTTCAAAATGACGGCCATTATTGTTCAGGCACATTCTTAGTCTCTTTAAAAACGAATCACTCAAGTGAAATCGGGTGACCTTGCTGGCCATTTAATGGCACCTCCGCGACCTATCCACCTTGCAGGAAACATTTCGTTTAGATATTCTCTTACGGCCCTTCCATAATGTGGAGGGGCTCCATCTTGCTGAAACCACATTTGATGAATTGGACCTAGGGCCTCCAAAGCAGGTACAATTTGTTCTCTCAACAAATTAAGATATTTGTCGGCAGTTTGGTTCCCATCAATACCTGTCCAGACATTAATTTTTTCTGGTCACTGGGTTCGAGTTTCTCGAATCCAGTAAGGATTTTCCTGACACCAATATCAGTAATTTTGTTTATTATAAAATCCATGAAGCATAAAAGTGGCTTCATTGGTGAACACAATCTTTTTGCCACATTTTAAAGCCATGTTAAATTTATCTAACATAGTGTTACAAAATTCAACACGTTTTGCAAAATCATTTTACACAAGTTCTTGAACGAGCTGCATCTTGTATGGATTAAACTTTTCCTTGTGGAGCTGTTTCAACACAGAACGGTGTGAAATGGCTTGCACCCTACCAACTACCCGACTGGACAAATGTGGGTTCTCTTATATTGACAGAAGCACATTTAAAGTAGTATCGTCATCAGTAGCTGTTTTTGGCCGCCCTGTATGTAGTTTGTCTTTAACGCTTCCCGTCTCGTTAAAATTTTTTTAACAATTTGGAAACACAAGATTTTGTTATTTGAGGTCTGTTTGGATGAAGTTCGTTAAAGAACTCGCATACTTCCCGCTGTGTCCTTTTCCTGTCACCATATCCCACCATCATTAAAACCTGTATTCTTTCCGTTTCACTTAATTCAAGCGCCATTATAACTTACTAAGTACTTAAGTACACAGAAAATTGAGTAAAAAAGTACGTTTACTGCAACAATGCACACAATTACAAACAACTGACAGCTAGTGACAGTTTCACATTGTTCTGATTTTGTCATGGCTAACTTGATGTTAATAATTATTTTGATAAACTGTCAAAAGCATAATAGAGAACTTAAATTTACTGTATTTTTTTCCTATGTGACCCCATTAAAATTGTATTGTATCGTATTTAGGAAGGTCCAATGTATTAATTTTCTCCAAAAAGGTATATGGTGCCGTTTAAAAAAATTAAGTCGGTTACCTTGGAAACCACATTTTTTGTGCTATGAAAGATTGCTTGATATCACTAAACAGGAAATAATTTCCCCTAACACTTTTATTAAAACATGTTTTTGATATGACGAATATTTTAAGAAATATAACCAATACTCCACAATTTGTATCCACACTGCGTACGTAAAATACTTCTTGTTTTTGTTCTACTTTTATTGTTTTGTTTTCTTCGTGATTAATTAAAGACATGTTTAGTATTTAAATATGTATTAGATATTACTATTTTAAGGCAACTTGCATCATTAACAGTATCATAGCAAGCCCTGTATGAAAGCTTTCAACGGCCTCCTACTATTAACAAAGCAGTAAATTCTAAAATAATTATTATACATCGTTTGTAATAATAATAATAATTATTTTTACTTCTGATCATAACTTTTTAATGAAAATAGATAGAGAAAATTTTTTTAAATAAAGGTTTATCGGAAAAAATATGTTCTTTTTAAATATGGAAAAATACAGGTATGTGGAAAAAAATATATTTCATGACGTCATCAATAGAATTTTCGAAATATCTGAAACTTTAATTTTTGGTGCAAAATGCATTTCAGTAACATTTTTCATTACCCTGTAATATCATTGGGGCGTAGAGTTCGGGACACCCTGTACAGAAATGTAGTTTCTCATTTCTAAGTATATATTTTATAAATATTTTATAGATCTACCTTGTTTCAGGAAAAAGCTCTGGAAGGTTACTGCCAAAAAGTGCAGGAATTCTGTCCGAAGGCACCGGGACCTCAAGGACCTCAAGGACCTAAGGGTGATCCTGGAGTCCCTGGACTTAGAGGATTTCCCGGAATACCTGGAGACATGGGTTTGTTTATATATTAAAACATTTAAATACATAGTTTTTTGGTAATTATTTGTTATGGTTTCGTTTGTCTTAGACTGTATCTTTTGTTACTAAACGTTATGCCCAGATAGTGAACTTTTTTCATACTGTTTAAAACTAGGTATGCAGATCTTTCAGTTATGAATTAATTATGTATTCCAGAAATATTTTTTTAGTCCCCCTTTCTGTTCACTTTGGGTATTTAATTAATTTGAAAAATTTTAAATATGAATTAAACTGATTTGTGCTCTAAAAGAATCAGACAACTTTTGTTTTATGGGATTATTTTTACCTAAATAAATTTTAAAAAGCAGATATGACATGAAATGACATAGTTGCGTCACTATATGACATGAAAAAATGATACAGTGGGTTATTACAACCCCTGATCCAGAGCTAATTTAATAAATTTTTAAAATTTTATAAATTCGTGAAATACCCAAACAAATTACGATTTGTGTTTATATTTTTATTGCTTAATAAACATTTTTTCTTTATTTTTTTCTGAACAGGTAATAGAGGTTTTACTGGTTTGCCTGGTTTACCTGGTTTAAAGGGGGCCAAAGGTCAGTTATTTTTTATTTAATAATTTTTTTAATTTTAATTTAGTTATTTTTTATTTTCTTTAGAGATTATTTATTATTTTAGGAGACAAAGGTGCTCAAGGTCCAAAAGGACACGATGGTGTGGCAGGTTGGTTTTATGACGACTATGTTTGACATTCTATATTTCTAATACCTATATAGTCCTTGATAATGGACTGTTTTTAGGCACTCCTGGATTACCGGGAGAAAAGGGAGAACAAGGACGAGCAGGATTAGATGGGAGAGATGGCATACCAGGCGAACCTGGTCTTTACGGTATGCCAGGAAGGAATGGTCACGATGGTCTACCCGGAAAAGATGGAGTCCCAGGAAGAAATGGCAAAGATGGAATTAATGGTAAGTGTGAAGTAAATCCGAAATTTAACCACATACCCTAATTAATTATGACAAATGAAAGAGAAGTGAAGAGAAGACAGAATGAAAGAATTCATATTAAGGAAATTTGACTATCACCTTATATAAGCAATTTCGAATCAGATGATAATTTTTTTCTTTGTAAAATTTGCATTGTTGTAGGTTAATAATAATGTAGGTGGTTATTATCTTTTTAATTCATTTTGCAGGTATGAAAGGCGACAGAGGTCCTCCTGGACCTCAAGGACCTGTTGGACCAAAAGGTGAGTTTGTATATTGTTTTTATTAGTCTTCGAAATTCTTTCGGACATTCCAGAGGAGTATCTGAAAGTTATTAATGTGTCTTGCGCCGTAAAATATAATTTATTACAGCACACTTAAATTTAACAATATTTAATGGAAAATCTGCAATCAGTGCTGAGAACTTTTCTAATGATCATATATGTCTACATCTCTTATTCCCTATAAAAATATTTCCAATCCCAATCATTATTAAAAGTATCTAAAAGTAAATTATAGGATCAATAAATAATAATTAACAAAGCATATGTAGGGTTTTAATCGCCAAACCTAGGGTTTAGTCACTTGAATATTGTGGCAGTATATTTTAATTATTATTAAAATTAAAAAAACCGAAGTGAGACCATATCTTATTTCAAATTCTCATTTGGTGATGTGTATATCAATCCTCATTGTTAATGTTAGTGCAACATAGTAGGTATTGAATATCTAGTAACGTAAAAATATCTATGCTTTATTAGTGGCTCATTATTTATTACATGTTGAAATATGTATATATTGTCGTGTCTGCCCAGATATTGCAAAACAACTCCTTTGTTTCACATTTAACTTGTTTTATCTTGATTACGTTGTTCTTTGATTTCTTGTGCTCACTTTATGTCATACGCCTGTAAGAGCTTTGTTGAATTTACTAACATTTTCACCCATGATTATTATTATTGTTATTATTGTTGTTGTTCTCCCGAAATCTCAACTTTAGCTGGATAGCCTCCCGTATTATGGGACTCCAGTACCTTACCTATGATTATTATTATTGTTGTTGTTCCCCTGAAATCTCAACTATAGCTGGATTGCCTCCCGTATGGGACTCCAGTACCTTCCCTATTATTATTGCTATTATTATTATTATTGTTGTTGTTGTTGTTATTATTGTTACTAAAACCTCTTCAGTTTTACTTGGAAGTGTGTATGTCTAATTTGAGTGAGATGACATTTAGTGAGAAATTAAATAAGTCCAGTTTTAATTATCATTAGCAAAGGTTCTTAATGTATGCCTTTGGTTAGCGGTTGTTTTGTATTTATATTTGGGTGGTAAGAGCAACGATCGTGGGTTTCTCTGCCATGCTCTTTCCCCGCAGGAGCTCTAGGTGAGCCTGGCACTCTCATTTTATGTTAAATGGTTGTTAATGTTTTTGTTGTTCTTTCTATTTGTCACATGTTTAATTTGAATTGTATGTAAATAAAGGTTAGGTGTATTTACTCTGCTTTTGTTTTATATAATTAAACCATACATCCCCTCTACAAAGTTAGTAGCCAGCGCCTTCCGGTGAAAAAAAATAAATACACACAACGTAGGGATTCCTTATGACGATCACATGTTTTTGGCCACAACGACGTTTACTTATTTTTTGTCGAACCTAGGGTTGTTATACTACAAGACCAACTTTTACGAAATAGAAACGGGCAAATAGAGTATTTTCTTATACAATACTTACTTAGAATATTAATCAACTAAATCTGAACCAGGACTCCAAATACTGGATCTTATTTATTATATTTAGTTATAAAGGGTGTCCCGCATAAGAACCAACACAGGCAGGTGCATGTAGGGATGTCCAAAATATTGTAATTAACCAAACTTACCTATATACAAAGTTGCACCCGTGAGGAGTTATTAGCCCCCAAAGTGGGGCCATAAATTTCGAAAAAAAGTTAATGTCTCTGCAACACTTTGGTACATGATTTAGGTTTATTACTGGTCTTCTTAGACTATGATTTAAAGTTAATTGAAGCACTACAAGGTGTTCATTGTGCATGACTCACCCCTAAAATTATACCTAACTTTTTTTTATAGACCGAACTGAAAAATATTAATATTAATACACAGCAGAACTTAATTCTCATTTTTTTTACTCTTGTTAAATTTTAAAAAACTATGGTTTTCAAGAAAAATCGTATTAACTGACACAAGATTTTAACAGTATTGATTAGAAAATAATCAAAAAGTCAGTAGTAGGCAATGAATTTATCTTTCAAACTTGTCAGTTAGTAATAAAATTATTTTATTTCAACCTCTGATTGCTGTTGGGGTACTACAACTACCTAGGTACTTGTTTTCTTTTTATGGAATTAGGAGAAAAGTGAAGTAAAATTTATTTGGCCAATTGTCAAATTTGAAAGATAAAACCTACTACTATTTTTTAATTCGGTCAATGAAAAAATGTACTACTTCAATTAACTTTAAATTATAGTCAAAGAAGACCAGTAATAAACCTAAATTATGTACCAAATTTGGTTCTTCTACGGTAAAGTGTTGCAGATATTAATTTTTTTCGAAATTTAGGGCCCCACTTTGTGGGCTAATAACTCCTCAGGGGTGAAACTTTGTATATACCTAGGTAAGTTTGGTTAAATTACAATATTTTGGACACCCCTACATGCACCTGCCCTGTGTCGGTGCTTATGCGGGACACCTTGTGTAACATCTTGCAAATTTCAACTTGTCTCCAATACAGGTGACTTCCTATGAAATGTGAATTGGGTGGAAAGGAAAATAATGCAGCACACTGACCAAAAAAGAAAACTAAATAAAGAGTTTGGAAATATTCACTTAGATTTAGGTAGATATATAATAAATATGAATTTTTTAGAGTATCTTAGAGTTATATTGGAGTGAAATTTAACTTATTGGGTTTACTTAGTACTTTTAATGTATTCTTTCATACCTATTAGTTTAGTTATTAACAAAGATCTTTCAGCAAGCCTATGTCACAAATGTCTACAATACCTACACAACTTTCAAGAATCTAGTTTCTGTTTTCTTAATAGGATTGACTGGTCCCAGGGGAAGACCAGGAAAACCTGGAACCCACGGAACACCAGGAATTCCTGGAATTACAGCCTGGAAAACCATGGATAAACACAATGTTACTTACCTCGTGCCACCATCAATTGCTGGTGAGTTTTTCTTTAGCACAATACTGAACATTTTTGTATCAGTGTTACATTATGATTATTTGCATTCATTTTCAAGAATAGTGGACACATGGAAATTGAAAAGCTGGTAAAAGTCGCCTTTTCTTTTAAATTTGTAATTTTGTGAAACCATTTTAACTAAATTTTCCACAACAAGAAAACTTTAAACTTACCATACAATTACCATAATCTCCATACAAGAAGTTAGTAATTCTATCAGGTAATTTATTTGTAATTGGAAGTTAATTAAGAAAAAAGAGAAAAAAGCAAACCTATAAAACAGCAACATTTGTTGTTGAATGTTGAAAAATATTTCTAAAGAATTATGTAAAAGTAATTGTAAGGAACGTATTTGTATAAGAAAAATAGACTGAGAAGTAATAAGTTTGAAGATGAGAGTGAAGCTGCGAATAACCGAAACTCAAATTTTGGTTTTGATCGAAAAAAATCAATCAAGTTGTAGAAATACACTTTTAAATAATTTTCTAAAAATAAGTTTTTATTCTAAACGTCATTCCAGAACATTCTGCAACCTTAATTTTTGTTTTAGTGCTTAAAATTAATAATAATTAAAATTATTAAACCTTATTGAGAACCTTTGAAATCGCCTCTGATTTTTGTAGTAAACAGAAAAACTCCTAGTTTAATTTAATAATCACTAATCAGTTCTACTTTAGTTTTCATTACAGAAACAAATGTTCAAGTGAAAATATTTATTTAGGAATTTAATTTATGTTTTCTTTTTGTGAAAGGACCTGTGATGTACGTATTAATAGATATGAATAAACACATTAAATCATTACTCAATACAGTTCCAATGAACTAATGCACATTGTGGTAACGTATAGAAATACTGATGGAAAACTGAGAGTTAGCAACACATTTTCAAATAAGCTTTCAACATTTGTAAACAGAATCAAAGCTGTCAGTGGAGTCAGCGGTTCCAAAAATATTATTATTGATCAACGTGGCAAGTCAGTTGTTATTAAAAAAATATTCTATTTGTAAAAGATATTGTTACGGTTTTCAAAAATATTAATATATAAACATTTACAAATAATTAAATTATGTCTTTATAATTACTTATTAATTATTTTATCAATTGCAATATACTCAATTCATTTCAAAATTAATTATCAATTACTATTATTAATGTATATATTCATAACTTTTTATATTACTTTGTTTATAACATAATATAATAGTTTCAAATAGATGACCAGGGTATAGTGAAACGGTTCAATTTACTCTGTATCAAAACGAATAAATCTAAGTCACGTGACCATTGTCTTAAAATTCCATATTCCATAGGTCAGTTCTTTCTTTTAAATCTCAACCGTTGAAGGGATCACTTCGTAGCTTCATTAACTCATCGAAAGATATTATTAACAATTGTGTAACTTTTGGAACGTTAATCAACGTGGAAGTTGGATTTCGTTAATAATATTTATATAAGGTTTATCCTGTAAGCAGCTGTGCTGGATTTTATTTCACCAGGAGAAGTGATAGATATTTGTAGTAAATTAGAGAATAATAGAGACTTAATTAGAGCTTCGAGTGCAAGCAGTAGTAAAGTAGTTGAACCAAACCTAGAATATCAAACGGAGGCCAAACGGAAAGTAAAATTAGATAACCTAGAAATGAATTAACCTTCTACTTTGAAACAAAATAAAAATCAGACTAGTACCAGATAGAGCAGACTAGATGCACATAGACAAGACCGTTACAGTAGTAAAGGTACAGTAAATCACCAAACTTTAGTCAAAATCGTAACCACGAAAGAAGTTTTTCTCATAATCGCCACAACAGTTATAATAGATATAGACATGACAGTTTTGACAGGCATAAAAGAGGTGGTTCGGTAAAATTTAATAATTCTGGGACACGATATAACACAAATGAATTTAATAAGGATCAAAATAGGCGTACTAACAGTAATCCGCATAATCGGTATAATAGTCACACACGTCAATTGGAAAGAAGTATTTCAAGGAACAGACAATTAAATAATTTAAATAGTGAATTTAAAAATAATGATATAACATGTTATCGTTGTAAAGGTAAAAATCACTTAGCAAAAAATTGTACACTGAGAAAATGTTATAGTTGTGGATTAATAGGTTTTACAAAAAGTACATGTCCTAAATGTAGTTCGGGAAACGCCAACAGAAATCAATATTAGGTCGGGATTTGATGTCATATTGCCAACCGACATATGATTTAAATGATTTATGTACTGTAGATTAAATTAATTACTTTAATAGTCACAACAAACCAATTTTAAATTACATATTAAGTCAAGTCAATGGAAATGTGTCCATATATTACAGTATCTGTCTATGAATTAAAAATTAAATCTCTTTTAGATTCTGGTGCAAATAAAATGTTTTTGAATTCTGATACATACGAGTATGTATTATTAAATAATTTGGGTCATAAAATAAAATATTTAAATAATGTTAAGTGTTCAGTGGCAAATGGTGAATTTTTGGAATGTTTGGGTTTTGTAACACTTCCAATTAGATTAAGAGTGCTGCCTTTCCAGCTATAATATTTATTGACTTCTGACTAGTAGAGTTGTAGAGGCTGAAATAGCGTAGCAATATTTCTGTCAATCCAGTATTCGTATCTCGATTTATTTAATCTTCAAATATCTATTTCAACTTTGTATAAGCCTATAAATGTACAGGGTGATTCACAACTTATCCAAAAAAAATTGGAAATAGATGCGGCATGAGAAATGGAGTCAATATTGTAAAAAAAAATATTGTAAAATCCTTATAGTTTCTGAGAAAAAATTATTGAAGGTATAGCACATTAAACCCACTACATATACAACTGTAGTCTCTAGCGTCATTCGCAATACGCGTGGAGAGCCATGTGACTCCTAATACTGAAATCCGTCGTTGCGGTAGTTTTTACCTGTTTTCTGTGGTATTTACATCAGTTTTTTAGTAGTTAGTGTCAAAAATGGCTTGCGTGTATAGCAACTCAGAGTTGATGGATATCGTTTTAATTTATGGTGAAGCAACACAACATTTGTATTATGGTGAAGTATTTGTGTTATGGTGAAGCAAGACATCATTTGTGTTAGTTCGTAGAAAGTGAGTAAGACGGACCCAAATGTGTTTACACGTGAGTGGATAAAATTTTGAACAATTGCTGTTGCAGCATCGGGTATGTCAAATGATTTTATTATTTAAAAACACAAATTAATTTTATTAATAATTAATAAAGGCAAAAGCATTTGAATTTGCCGATATAAAATAGGTGCGATAAAATTCTATTTACATATTTCTTTCCTTGCGAAAGTTTTTGTCCGTTTTCATCACGCCGCCATACCGGTCGCATTGTGCGAGGTCAGGTTTTACAGTGGACCAGTTTCCAGTGCCGTGCAGAAGTGTATTTTTAAATCAATTTCGAACTGACCTTACAAAATTGTAAGGGTCCCCTGTACATCCAGAATTTTTTTTTGGATAAGTTCTGAATCACCCTGTATATATAAAAATAAAACTTTTGTCATAGTTATACACATAATTAAACATTATATACATATAAAAAATTGAACCAGTTTATTGTTGTCTTATACGTATAAAATAGTATACCTACCTACAAGTATATAGAAACTATAACTAATTCAAAAGTCCGTAACTTTTGATTAACTGAAGTAAATTTGAATAGATAGCATGGGCATTGTTTTAATTTAATTTATTATTAGAGTTATCCCGAAGAAAAAGGAACATAAATAAGTGGTACATACATTCATGGAATAATCCGTCTGCCATCGTCCACAGGAGATCCTGTCATTATTAATAGGAACATACTAGTTTTAAAAAAATGGATAGCATGACAGTAGGCGGGATATGTACATAATATATGTGAAAATTGCACAATCATGCATTTAAGCCAATTTAAATAAAATAAATAAATATTTTGGTTTCGCAAACATACATAAATATATACATGATATTAAATACGTTTCCAGTAAAAATGAGTATATGGCATATACAAATCAATACATAATTTAAAAATACTGCGGTTGAATAATATTATACAGTTTGTTGTATGAGTTTTATGCACAAAACAATATGCGTAAGTAGAAAATATGTATAACGATTCTTTTCCCTGCAGATATACACAATAAGCTTATAGTTTAATGTAGTGCTGGCACCTGAAATCGGTTTTTTGGATAGTCGGTTAACCGGTTTCGGATTATTCGGATTTTTATGAAATCCGAAAACCGGTTATTCGGTTATTCGATTCTTCAAATATCCGATTATTCAAATAACCGATTCCTACTTCCTTTGGATCTACTTCCTTTTTTTTTAGACATCGATTTGTCCGATTGCAATTGACCTTTTTTTTGGATATCGATTTCTTCGTAAACAAATTTGATTTCCAGATTTTTGTAAACACCTTTTTTTTAGACAATTTCTCCGGGTCTGTCTTTGTAAAGCACCGATTTTCAGTATCCGGTTTTGGCGACTCAAGTAACGGGTTATTCGAATAACCGGTTTTAGCAACTATTCGACTAACCGGTTTTATCTGAAATCGGTTTTTACGGAACCCGGTTAACCGGTTTCACTTTTTTCCGGTGTTTGCCAGCACTAGTTTAATGCACTCAATATGAATACATCAATAGAAAACCGTTTAATAATATTTTTTGGAACCACTGTTCTACGTGTTCGAAACGTTTTGCTCATGATGTTACGAATCAAGTTTCAAGTGAACGAATTCGTACGTTGTCTTTATTTGTTGTGCATTTTAGTGTTTACGTTTTTTCGTTCTTTGACGTTTTTTACAACATAAAAACAAATTTCTTTTTATTTGTTGTACAGAGTGTTTACAAACTAGAAGATTATTTTCCAGGAAAATTCAGTTTTGTTATACTAAGCAAATCATGGCACAAAGATGCATATTGACCTTATTTAATAAAAAAGTGCGAACATGTTATGAACTGTTGTTTGCTCGATGTTGCCACA